CAATAAGTAGCATGAGTCCGCGCAAGTTCAGAGAATCGCGGAAGACGCCCTTACACAGATACTCGAACTTTCTGACTGTCCTGGTTCGACTGCATTGATCTCGTCATCCGAAGAGTCGTCACCTAGATATAAGGCCAGTCGGTCGGCATAGTGAACCCCGATCATGAACACACAGAAATTCCGTATACTCACGTAGCATGTGGGGCAGACCGAATTCGCACAGGAGCGCGTTAGTGGTCACTGGAACTAGTGGCGGCCAGCAGAAGCGTGACGACAGCCTGAGCGTTGCCGACGCGAGTATGGGTTTCGCGACGGCGTCACACGTGATCGCTCACTCTCAGCGACTTGTACGACTTCCAAGTTCGAACGGCCCTTGTGGAAACACTGGCATTGAGGGTGAACAGCGGGCGAGATTTGAGACTTGGATGAATTGCGATCCCAAGGTTTAGACCTATGACAAGTCCTACAGAGCGAGCGTGGAGAAACATATCCTGTCCGAGTACATATGCAATACTTACGCTACCATAAATTACACACAAACACTCGAACACTAATCGCGCAGCCAGGATGTCATGTTCCTGGGTCCATTACCACAACGGACGCAGATTCTTCGTCGTCGGCGTAGTCGTACGAGTGGTCGTGTGATCCCTGACGGTCCCCGTCGTCGCTCGCACTTCCAGACGCGGTTACCCACCAAGGAATCTCGAAGTCGCGTACCTCCTCGATTTCTTGGGGTACGCGCGCGCCGAATGCGGTGACATGGCGCTGGGTCTTTCTCGCAGTGGGAGCAGACGATTGCCGCAGGGCCGCAACCATGAGCACGCACGTCGTCTGCTCCTTCTTACCCGCAAGCCCTGCATAGGACGCGTAAGATCTCTTGGCAGAGTATATACTCAACGACGGCATACCGGCAGAGGAAACGGACTCTCGAGTATCTGAGCCCGCGAAGGCTTTCGTCTTCTTCACCTTTGCGGACGCGGACTGGCCTACGCGCTGACGCTTTCGGGACGGTGCTTCAGGCAAGGTGTCTGCTGTATCCGCCGAATACCGATCGTACTTGCTGGGGCCAGCATAGGATGCAGAACGTAGGGGAGAATTTGCGGTCTGGCCTTTGCCGCCGGAGTATTGGAGGTACGGGGAAAGCGTGATCTGCTTGCCGCCGCCTCTGGATGGGATCGGTGGCTTCGTGTCCTGCTTCGAGGCCAGCATTCGCGGAGGGAATTTGATACGCAGTTTCAGCTGCTTCGACTTGCGCCGTTCGATCTCCTCGAGGTCAACCTCGGACTCGCCGTCGTCCCCCGCCTCCGCCTGTTCTTCTTCGCCTGCATCCGCCTGCTCCTCCTCCTCCTCTTCTTCTTCTTCCTCCTCCTCCTCTTCGTCGTCCTCTTCCTCTTCCTCCTCGTCCATTCCCTCCTTGCCTTCCTCTCCTTCCTCTTCATCCTCTTCATCCTCCACCACCTCCACCACGTCGACAGAGGCCTTGCTAGACGGCTTCGCGGCCTTCTTCATCCATCGTCGATCAGGGGGCAAGAGTGTTCTGTAGCGCTGCTCCAGGGACACCGCGACTTCGAGCATCTCCTTCCTTCGACGCTCGCCTTCGTGATACGCAGCTGCACCATGCAAGTGTATCTCGTCCACAGCGATGTCCTCCTGTGTGGATGGTTCTGGAGTATTGCTGCCCCCTTCGGTGATTTCGGTGAACTCAGACGCAGGGATCGCGAGGAACGCAGATGAGTCCATCGCGCGTAGCTGATCAATGCGCTCCTTGAGCTTGTAGTGTTCGTGTTGGAGCTTCTCCTTCTCGCGGAGGCGCTGCCGCTTCTCAAACGTCTCGTACTTGCGGTGGCGCTTCTCGTATGCTTGGTCCGAGGTATCCACACTCTCCTGCATATGCGCATTTGAAGCGCGAGCATGTATTGCAGGGTAGAACAACGACATCGTGTGAGTATGTGCGTATGTACAGGAGTAGTGTGCGGACGAACATCTTCAGAGCCACGCGGGCGAAAGCGGCCGCCGACGTGCGCATCCTGCGAGAGCTCAATGAACTCCGGGGTCTGGATGAGCTGCTGCTCCTTGTAAGCCTTTCGCACTTCGGGGCGGTCGAAGTAGCGTCCATATGCGAGCGTATTCAGCTGTGACTCGGCATCGTGGTCCGCCACAGGTCCTGATGCAGTGAGAGGAGGGAGGAGCGCGGCGTTTGTGGTCAACAAGAACGAGGTCGTTGCGGGTATAAGCGGCTCGCTCTCAACTGCGCGCGTATGTATAAGTGTACAAGACGGGGGAAACTGCCAACTAAATGGGGAGTGGAATGCGGGCGACGGGGTGGGTGGCAGCGAGGAGTAATGGGGACGTACATTTGCGCTTCATCGTCTCGAGGATCATCACGTCCGTCTCGCAGCTCCCGACTCCAGGCCCGCCCCGTCGCGAGCGCGTGGGCAAGACGCGCTTTTGCCGGGTCTTCATGCCTGCCTTCGCCACCGGAGGTTGCGCCAGCGACTGTGGTTTGCCCGCATGTGGGGGTGCGGGAGACGAGGAGGATGCAGTTGGCTGCTGGCTGCTGGCCGCGCGCGGACGTGCAGCGTTGGGTTTGCCGTTGCGAGCACTGGCCATAGCGACGCCACAGCGACAAGAAAGACGGAGGAGTGGGTAGATGCTCAGCTCGACGGCGCCGACAACTCGACTCTCGCTGCCGGGGCGGTCTTTCTAGACGCGCAAACACGTCCGAATTCGGTCGATCCAAAGCTATTGGCTTCACTGACTCAACGCCTACGAAAAGCCAAGGGCGCCAATCGGTCCAAAGGCAAAAGCATGCACGATAGATGGATATTTACATATGCGACAAAGCTGTAATCATCCGTTGTAGCCGTTTCCCTGGCCAGGAGGTGGCTGAGATGGACCGCCCCAACTCCCGCTCCAACCTCCAGGTGGATTGCCAGGGACTGCGTAGCCAGAAGCATCCTGGGTATACGGGGCAGACTGTGCGCCATACCCTGCAAAGCCCATGCCCATCCCAGGCATTACAAAGTTAGCAGCAAAGCGTGGGTTAATGTGGGGCTGAACCTGGGGGAACTGATATGGGAATGCGAAGTCAAACGGCTGCATAGGAGGATACTGTGGATATCCCCAGTCGCCACCGCCATTCATATCTGGGGGGACGGCAGAGCCGTCAGCATACTGGCCTGTGGCGTGGGCAATCGCCAACGATGTGGGGGACAGAGATCGAGGCGGGTGAGTGGGGTCAGTTCGACCGCGTCCACGACCGCGGCCACGACCACGATCGCGATCGTTATGGCGCCTTCCTCGTCCTCGTCCGCCTCCGAATTCCTCGTGGCGAGAAGGGAGGTCGCGCGGACCCCCTCTTCCGCGTCCTCGCCCACGGTCATGGCCACGAGAAGCCTGGGACGGAGACACGGGTGACTTCCGGGGTTCCTCTTCCTCACTTACGAACTCTGGCGGAGCGGTGCCGTAAGCATCGGAGTAAGGGTCGTCATATGGGATGGGGGCAGGGCGAGAAGGGCCCGCAGCGAGGTCCATGTCGTTATACGGTCGAGATTCCGCGTAAGACGAGGAACCGCCGTATGGGTCGTCGATCATGTCCTGGTCGCGCATGCGTGCAGGTACCGGTGTTGAATGTCTCGAAGACATGACTGAACGTGCCCTAGACTGATCTCGCCTAAAGCAACAGCTCAGGATGCGCATACCCCAGCAAAACAGTACCACGCACCTCTGGGTTTGCGCTCTTTTGTAGGCAGCCTCCGCCTCATCGTCGGAAAACTCAAGTTCATCATCTCCGGGCTCCTCGTCGTTGACGTTGCTTGCATCGCTCCCTTTTATATGTCGGAGCTGTTGCACGAACACGTAGTGACTTTTGGTAGGGACGTGGAAGACCGGCCGGCCAACCTGGACTTTCTCGGGGTCGAGGGGGAATTTCTGGTTGAATCTGACTTGATACAGCGGTTCGCTTGTTGGCCCAAAGGTCTCAAAGATCTGGCGATAGTCAACACTGCGGAGCAGCAACAATGCAAATGTACGCACATATCCGAAGACCTTCCTGTCCTCGAAGACGAGGAGGGTATCCGAGTCAAGTGCCCTCTCGGAGCCCCTGTTCGCGAATTGTGACGCGACTCCCTTCACAATGACCACCTTGTCCAGTATGTTCATGATTTCCCCGACCTTCTCCAATTGCTCGTCTGCGGAGACTTCGGAGATTTCAGGAATGACGACATCAGCCTCGACAACCTCGTTCTTCGTTCGTACTTGCGCTTCTGAGGTCGCCGCTGGTTCTCCATCGTCATCTTCGTCCATTTCGACTCTGACTGGCTTCTCCCGTGTCTTCCGGGCCGACATTTCCTCTTCGTCTTCAGAGTCGCTGGACGAATCTGAATCGCTTGTGGATTCGGATGGACTAGCCGTCATTTAGATTGAGCCGGCAACGGTGTCGTATCGTATTGACGACTTACGCATCTACATCGTCCTCCCCGACGTCAACAAGTATACCTGCCTCCACCTCCTGTTCACTGTCGGTGTCACTATCGGTTCCATGGTCTGAATCTGAGCGTGTTGAGGCCTCGGATAGCTTGGCGGTGGAGGGCACAGGTATGTCTCCAATGATATCCCGAATGAGCAGAAGATCCTGAGGTACTGCAGAGGGTACCGCAAAGGAGTAAGCGGAATCCATGTTGTCGAGGTCAAACTTCTCCCCTCGGGGAGACTCTGACCAGAACTCCCAGAAATTTAGACGCGCCTAACGCGACGGTCACGTGCCCGTAATACATATGGTATCGCTCACGCTAAGTACTCTTACCCTTCCTCCTCCTCGACATTAAGTACCAAGCACTCGTGCTTGCGCAAAGAGGAGGATGGTAGAGTCGCAGATAGCTAATTTTGAGAGGCTGGCGAAGGTTTACGACGCCTGCATTGTCATGCGGGCCAATGATATGCGCCTGTATGATCAGCTCCTGACGGTACTGACATACTTATCTTCAAGTCTCTCGGTTCCTCCTTGGAGGCCCAGGCCCTTTCAGTGCTCTCACGTCTCATGGACATGGTCTCGTCAAGTCGTAACGACAACGCTAGGGCGCATACTACCGAGGAAAGAGCTCGAGCCACGAGAACTACAACTCTTCTCCTGCAAGCCATCTGTTGGCGAGCTCCAGTGACCGGACTGGCTGATCGTATGGAGCCTGCAATTCGGAACTGTAGTGTCAATACAAGCATACAGGCGAATTCATAGTTCTCTTACCATATGTCCGGCATCGCGGATGGTCGCGAACGTAAGCGGACCAAAGCTTCTGGTCTTCCCGGCGACCTCACCATCCACAAACCACTCGCGCAGTGGCAGGCTCTGATATGCTTCCTGTCCTGTCCACTCCAGCTCACGAGTCATACGTTCATTCCCAACCTGCAGATAGCGCGCGTCAGCATGTACCAACGACACGGGAATACCAGCATACCCAGTTGCAAATCCAGTCGGTGTCCCCGACGTAAATCAGAGCCCGGATACCACGCTCCAGCAGCGCTGCAAGGTAATGCTCAGCTCGGAAGGACCAATTATCTTCCGCAAAACGGGCGTTGAGCTCGAAATTTATCGAGCTGTAGTTGCTGTGGTGCTGGTCGACACCTAGTTCCGATTGGACTTCGGGGCTATTCAGGTAGTCATCGATATCTCTGTCGACAAGGAGTGCATTCGGTCCGGTCAGTCCGCGCGGGTAGAAGGAAAAAGCCCACGCACTGCACTATAGGATAACAGGAGACGATGTCGGTATGTCCCTTGCTGTCAGTTGAGAGTCGTTAGTAGTATACCGCGGCGGTCCGAGGCCTAGCTCACCATGGGCGCAAGGCATCATATGCATTGTATTCTGATTCCAAGCCTCAGCGAGAGTCAGCCAGCATCCGTATCGGCCTGCTTACGTAGAAAAACCGCATCGAAGGCTTTCC